GGCAGCTGATTCTGGCCAGACTACGTCCCAGGGAATCTGCAAAGGCAACTCTGATACGAGCTGATCAACCAGCTGTGAGGGACTTGTCAATCCCTGCTACCAAAATGCAGCTGTTATTGGGTTGCTTTGCGGAACCATGGCAGTAGATTGCCTGCAAGCCAATCTTTATGGGAACACCTGCCATCAGCTTTTCTCACAATTGCTGAGAACACCGACGGTGCACCAATTCTCTTGTGAGAAAACGGGGCTGGAAATTGACACAGGTGATCCCGGGCGTCCACTCAGACTGCAGCAGCTTACTCACTGGTCAATTGTCAATGTGTCTCCTATGGCCTCCTGCTTTGGTCGGCTACGGTGACCTCACCTGCATCCAGATCGATCGCTTCAACGAAGCTGGCAGCAAAAGCAAGAGCAAGCTCACTTTGCCATCCCGAGTTTGCCTACCTTTCTATATCATGGGCCACTTGGAGCTGGACTACGTACCGCGCAGGGTGGTGGCACTGCCGTGGCACCTTGGCAAAGATGCGCGCACAGGCCACTACTGCGCGGCCATCAAGGAGGGCAACCAATGGTGGCTATATGATGATCATCAACGGCCTTCACAAGTATATCATCATGCAGAATGTCTATGTCCTATGGTTGGCCTCCGATCCAGACCAACACTCTAGATGATGAGCAGCGAGAGACCTGGAAGACCCACTGTGGCGCAAACGATGATGAACATGAGGAACGATCCTCCAGCAGCCTCTGACTGGAAGGCTGAGTGGCCCATTGCGGTCTCCTGTGGAAGCGCGCAGATCTATGCCATAGACTTTCAACACATTGCATTGCGTGCAATGAGACTCCCAAGGACATCCTGCAGCACTTGAAGCCAACTTGAAGCGGCACATTGGCAAGATTCAGAACCAACCTCAGCAAGATGATGTAGGTCATCTCCATCATCATGGGCCATATTGCCCTGCCACCAGCAATGAATATGCTCAAGTGCCTGTTTCTGGTGGCCCACGCATGAATGTATGAGTATGTCATATGGGTGAAGTCTGGATTGCTTCTCCTCCCAACAAGTAGGTGGGATTGAATGCGGGTCCGCAAGGCGCTCACAGGATGCTCCATGGAGAGAATGCGTCTGCAAAAAAGCTCTGCGCGAGGCGTGTTTCATAAACGAATGATCGACCTGCGCCAATCATACGAAGTTGTGACATCATCTGCTTTTGAAACATGGTCAAAGTGGACCAGTTGAGCCCCCGTCCGTGCATCAATATAAACTGCAACCGGAAAAAAGCAGGTGTACCAGGGAGACTGTTTCTGCTCCAGTGTGAGTCGATTGCCCCGCTTGAGCATGGAAGCATTTGTGGAATCTCCGTGCACAAGCGGCAAGTCGATGCTGCATTGAAAATCTCAGGGTGTGTTTGTACCCAATCTTCACCCCCAGGTATCACGTTTGCAGGATGTCCTTCAAACTCCACCACACTCCGAGACGCATCTCATTCACGCTCATGGAGTTGGCCCCTCACTGAACATCTCCAGGACTCCAGAGACTTTGGATGGACGTGCAATTTGTAGACACTGCGGTGTATCCTTCATCAGTTGGCGGGGTATCCTTCATCAGTTGGCAGAATCTCAACAAAACATCACATCTCTCTCTTGTCCCAATCTTGAACTTTCCAAGGCACTGCCAGTGATCTTGACGCAGCACCGCCGCAGTCTCCTGAACATCTTCGATGCGGGGGACCTACAGATCCTGGAGGAGAACGCCTTGCGCACCTTCCTCACACACCGTTGCGCGCTATGTGGCTACTGGGCTGCACGGACTCAGCAGATGAGTGCACACATGTTCAGGGAGCATTCAGATGCCACTGGACTCGTTCATGAAGTCTTGCCCAACACCACCCATGCTCGTATGACCTCTCCGTGTGAATACTGTAAGACTGAGCTCAAGTCAAAAACTGACTTGGTCTTGCTCTTGGTGACCGATGACATCGAGCTCTTCATCCGGAGGCTCCTGAACCCAGTCCCTTGGCAGGAGAAAAGACCAGAGCACAGTTCAGGCGCAGTCTCTACGCCACAGCTGCGGGCCTACACCAGCATATGAGCCTGCAACATCAGCACACTACCGCCCAACATACTTTTCAACCAGCTCGCGATCAAGTTCCTGACCAACTCCAATGCGCACACCGTGACACGACCGAGCTGAAGCATCACATTGATGCCTTTGCCCATGATATGGCGGAAATCTCCATTCTCATCATGCTCTCAAAACAACCGGTCATTCTTGCTGGCCGCTGGCCTCCATCCGGGAACCTTTGATCACTTGATGGGATTCAAAAGCTTGGTGAGGGGTTGGGACTTCTTTGTGGTCTTTGAGGACATCTTTCACAAAGCTCCTCCTCTCTCCTGAAACATGGACGGAGGTCGCAGGCTTTGCTGAGCGGTTGCAAACACAGATCCCCTTCTCTTGTTTAGGCACTCGACCTCCTGGGAACAACCATGTATGCACATCGTTCACTCACCTGGCCTTGTTTGCGCACCATGATCTTCACAAGTTTCGACATTCAGGAGATGAAGCTATTCTGACTCAGGCCTTGAAAGTGGACCTGCGCGTGCTCTGCCCCTCTCTTCAGCTGCAGTTTCCGGACTCGCGGAGATCTGGCCGCCGTCTTGACGGACACCTCCATCTGCGCTGCATTGAGCCAATGCTGCACACTGTGCGGACGCTCGGTTGGAGCCAATGACACGTATCTCCACCTCAGACATGAACACCCAAGGGACTACACACGTGGGGCCCTTTATCACAGATACATGATGGACATGCATCCGGCCTCACCCACCTGCTTTGTGCGCAAACTCCATGACACTGCAGCACATGAGTGTCCAGACTGGAACACCCAAAACCTTGTCCACGCCATGCAGAACTGGCAACAACAAAGCTGACCTGACTAGATCTAACCTGCGCCGGTTAAAATCATTCAAAACTCTAGAACTGGTTGGAAGCAAGGCGGGGACGAAATCTACTATGTCCAGTTCTGCTGCAGATAGCAGATCGCAGCCCTTTTGCGTCGGATTCATCATGGCCATGGAAGTCGACGAGATGCAACAGGTTCAGGCAATGTGGGTGCCAAGTCAGACTCTCTCCTCGATAGGGGAACCAACGACGGCCCCTCAGCCGAACAAGCCCACAAAAGGAAAGGGCAAGGGCAAGCGCCGAAAGGACCACAGGCCAGCAGCGACTGAGGAACCTCATGCAGATGGTCCAGACCATGTCCCCAAAATGATGAAGGCGCACGAGAGACCCCCTCCCCTCCAGTTGATTCTTGGCCGCGTGAGGCCTGCCACTCTGCAGCGCACACCTCTGCCAATCATTTGGGCAAGCTTCTCAAATCTCTTTGACCCAGCCAACCGGTGCACCGATTGGTGGACTCAGCAATCCTGGCAACGCACGCTACATGAATGCTGTGGTGCAAGGCTTCCTTTGGGGGGCCATCAAGGTGGGACCCTTGATGTTCATGAGATTGCGAGCAACACCATGACCAGGCAGCAGCGGACCATGGCTTCGACTACTGCAAGGCTGGGATCAACCTTTTCAACAACTTGACATCGTTGATGTTCTTCACATTTAATGCCCTTGATCGACCCATGCTTTCACTGCAGCCTTTGGGAAGCCCGAGTTGAGACCTCAGAGGAAATCAAAACCATCGACTGTGGCTCTCACGGCTGTCGTCCGGTTCACTTGTAACATACTTGTGCAGTGGACCTGCAGGACCTGGTTACGGCATGGTCCATGGAATTCCACGGATTGCAGGCTATGTCTGGACCAGCTGACCTGGTGTGTGTTCAAGTGGACAGGTTCAACAAACATGGCACTAAGAGCTTTCAGCGGTTGCACTGGTCTTTACACGTCTTTACACACCATTTCAGGTGATTGCAGTTTCTTTCAATGTAGGAGCTGGCCCACAGTCAGGACACTATAGAACTGCCATTTGGCCATTGGAATGATCCACACTGGCTCCTGCTAGATGACGATGCCCCTCCAGAGTCCACAGCCGGACTTCCCGATCACGTACTCAGGAACATCTGTGTTCTGTGGCTTCTGGGGAACGAGCTTGGTGGAGCTGCACTTTGTGATTTCATTCCCTCGTCTTCAGAGGCTGGCTCCTTGGCATTGTTGACACAAGAACAAATGATGCACAATGTGCTTCATGCGGCGCATGGCCGCCCTTGGACAGTGTCTTGGCTGCCATCGCTCGGTCGTCTCGACGTTCGGCTGCTGGTTGCTTGGACCGACCTATGCCGCGAGCTGACGCGCAGCTGCCTCCTCTGCGACACCAAGCCGCAATGCCTGCTGACGCACCTGCAGCACCATCACCCGCTGCTTTGGAACGGCGCGGCACCTTCAGTGAGAGATTGATGAATGATTTTGAGCAGTGCGCACTGTACACGAGACAGTGCACCTGCACGCCTTTTGGTCCTGAGATTGAATGCGTGGATAAACACGTTTTCCCCTGCCTGATGCAATACGGGACGCTTCATGTTTTCCTTCGGGAGAGGCAGATCAGTCAGGCTAGCCTCAGCTGTGAAACCTTGGCTCTGCAACTCGTCCGCACTTTTGACTAGAGACCGTCCGTGGCTTTGGAGTACAGAGTGCGGACCTGTCCAGATAGATAGAAGTGGGTCAACGCGACTGTATGAAGCCACGGGGCGTCGAGAAAGAAAGAAAGAAAGAAAGAAAGAAAGAAAGAAAGAAAGAAAGAAAGAAAGAAGAAGATGATGATGATCCTCATAATCATGATGATGATCATGATCATGATGATGATCATCATCATCATTGTGGTGCTGATGATGATGATGGTGATGATGAAAATAATAGTTAGACAAACAGACAGTTGAAGTTGGTAGCCGTTCTTGAATGGAGAACTAACCCTTCGCAGGTGCTTTCGGGAAAAGTTAAGGCCAAGGCCTTACCGCCGCCAAAAGAAAAGCAAAACAGGAGTAACACACAACACCTCCCGGAGCTGCGTCTCCACCATAGTATTTGTCTCATAATCCTTAAGCTTCACAGCTACCAGCACCTCGAGAAGCGGGCACAACCAAAAGCAATTTGGAACAAACATTGACAACCCGACATATAAGGCGCGCGAAATCAGTATGCCTAGCACGCCGCTTGCTTTTACGCATGGGCATTTGGCATAGGCTTGCAAGTATAATTTACTATAATCGTGCGATCGGTTTTGCTGCGTGCGATATGATGAAAGAAGCCTGCGGAGAAAAGAACAAGCTTGGCCAGCTAACCCCTTGGCCATGTTCAATTCTACTCATTGTTGGCGGAAATTGATTCACAAGTCTTCCAACCCACTGCCGCGACACCACCTTCTAAACCCTATCGGTGGTTTACGATCCTCCAGGCGCCTGAATTCTCTACCCAGGTAGCGGCTTGGGAACGGCCACTTGTGCGTAGGAATGCGTTGCACATCATCACAGAATCTTCATGAATCAAAACCACACAAAAGCATTCGTCCAAAGTCCATTTGCCGGACGGCCGCGCCTCACGCGAGTGTGCAAGCAAGGCACAGTAGAACGGCCAGCGTTCAGCCAGGGATGAACTGTTTGGATCGTCAGGGCAGTGATGCCAGGATATTGGTGCCTTGAAGGCGCAACTTGACACGGTGTCTTTCAGAAACACACAGCTTCTCAAGCCCAAGCAACAAGAAAACGTTCAATCGACCTACAGGCTGGCAATAGAATTGTCAGTACCTGCTTTGCGTCTGCCGTAGGTGCAACCAGTTCCCCGATATTTGTAAGCTGCAGTGCCACCGGTAAATTGCCGCGCTTGGCCAGTTGCTGCGTAATGACAATCTTCTGCCAGGTGGTCAGAAGATGGTTGAGAAAAAACTTGAATCGACGTTGTTTCTTACAGAACTTCTGCACTGTTGGAGGATATCTGTGGTAAAGCGCCGCGTGACGGACATCTATATATGTCTATACAGTACATTATCAAAAACGCCCAAGCCATCCCGAGCCAAAAGCAAAAGCGAGGTCGCACTGCACCAAAAGAGCGTTTTACGCGTGCACTTGGTGATCTTGTGGGCAGGAAAAAACCTGTTCCAGGAAGGTGTGGCTCACAAGAGACTTGAACACGCTTGAACATGAACCTTACGAACCAACTGAGAAATGAGAGGTTCGTGTAGCGAAGCAGCCTTCGTTATGCGCTCAGAGGCTGAGACCGGCCTGCAGCCTGCGGCCTAGGGCATCGACCTCCCAAACGTACTGAGATGGGCTGTGCTTTTCTAATGTGTTAAGATAGTTAAGCTAAATACTAACTAATGATATCCTAACCATGTGCTAACCATCTCCTAAATTGTTATAACTGTTGTAAATATGTTATGTTTTTAAGATAGTTAGTAATTTATGTTAACTTTTAGCTAATTATCTTAACTATCTTAAAATTTTAGACACATTAGCTCAAAAGTTAACATAGTTAGAAGCAAATTATGTTCATTATTTTCCTTACTTTGAAACTTTGGTTTGTTGTTTCGCTTTGATAGAAACACCTTCTGGTGATAAGAATTTTGCCCATGGGCCTATGTTTATTTTTGAAAGCAAGACTATTTCAAATGAATTTCCTTTTGGCAAGCAAAAGCAACACTTGCATTTGCACATGTCTTTCCACCCCTTTTTGGTTTATGTTGCAGCCAAATGGGCTTTTGATTAGAATTGTTTTGTTTTTGTTTCTCAGCACACACCAGCTGGATTTGTTCCAGCTTCTGGTTTTGTTTGTGGCGGCAGCTTCAATTTTTGAAAGGTTTGGCTCCATATTTGGCGAGCATGTCAGTGTAGCTTTAGCACATGCAATGTCAGATGAAGAAGCAGCAGAAGCAAACAATGTGACTATTGGCTACAAACTGGAGCTTTCCTACAAAGGTCGAAAGAAAGTGGAAATCCCAAAGAACATGTTGGCGAAGGACTCTTGTTCGCATGTGTTTCTAAATGAGCCATGCATGAACTCTTTGAAACAAGCCACTAACTTGCCCTGAAGGATTTGGATGGAAATTCTTATTTGAAGCTTCAAGGAAGCTCACCAGCTCTGTGCAAATTGGTGTGTGGGAGAAATGGTGACAAAACCTTGACAAATGGAGGGGCAATGGCTGACCTTAAGAGGTTGAGGAATGAGCAGATTGAGGCTCAAGAAGAAAAGGGTGAAGAGAATAGCAAAAAGAGAAAGCGTGAACATGTCTTGCAGGTGCAACTTGGTGCTGTACAAGCACAAATTCTTGCTCCTGGCAAAAGAACCAGTAGCTCAGATGTGATGGCGCTTCTTCAACCTGATCAGCTACAAGCAGTCTTCGAGCATTTGGAGGCAGATTGCCAAGATGGAAGCCTTTCCAAGCGTGAGTACACCAAGAGTGGCAAATTTGCAAAGGCTGGTGGCGCTGGGAGCTCCTGAGACAAGAGCCTTGGTGGAGTCATGGAAAAAAGTGCTGTTCCTTGTTTGGGCTGGGAACATGTGCTCTTGTTTGTGCACATGTTGTTTGAGCTTTTTCAGCTTCTTGTTTAGCTGCAATGTGTGAATTTGTTTGCTCACAAGCCTTTTTGGGCTTTCTGTTTTGTTGTGTGTTTGACAGATGTTTTCTTGTGGATCCTCCTGCTGTGAGGTTCTTGAAGGAATTTGTTGAGAAATGTGCAGGTCACAAACATGAAAGCAGTTTTTTGAGAGAAGCAGCCTGAGGGTTCACACAAAAACACAAAAGGCATAGCTTGAAGTGCAACATGTTAACCAAGCAAAGGCAAACACTTTACTGGTGATTTGCAAGAACTTGGCACCAGTCCAGCCATGTCGGTGCCACCATATGTGAAAGAGAAGGTCGAAGGTCTTCTCAGTACAGGATGCACTCTGGGTGTGAACACCAGGTTGAACATGATCTTGGAGATTCTGAAGGGCTATGGACTGGTGTATAGCACCACCATTGTACCAAAGGATGTCATGGTGCATCCATGCAATAGAGGATCATCAATGATCAACCATCATGATGCCCACCAGAAGGGCAGTGCAATTTTACAAGCTGGAGTGAAAAGTGATTTGTTGACTGCAAACAGCCTCTGTGTGGAACTGTCCACACTGCCTCATGTTCGCTCACAGCAAATTGAAGCCAACAAAAAAATGGTCGCTTCAGCTGACAATATGCTGTCTCCTTTGCATGGCACTGAGCGCTTTCTGAGCATTGCTTCAAGCCATTTCACACAGTGGCTCAGAGCTGTTGAGTATGGAGCTTCCAACCCTGAAGGCAGGAAACTGACTGTCACAGCTTCTTTGAAGCCTTTGTTGGAGGAAGGGTGGCAGTGGTTGGTAATCAAGGCTGAAGCAGAGCAGATCTTTCTAACTCTGGCATCATTTGGATCCATGTCGATGAATGCCCAGAACACCAATGCTCTGGCTGCAAGTGAGCTTGAATGCATGATGCAGTTGAGCAGCCTTTACAAGTCAGGGATGCAAATGTCTGCAGCAATCAGTGCTGTGGAGCAATCTGCACCTGCATGCATGGCTTACCTCCAGGATGTAGCATTGTTTGTCAGGCCCTACGCTGGAGGAGATGCTTTTCCACTTTTGAAGTGGCTGGATTCATTTTGTTTCTTTGCTAATGGTCAACGCTTTTCTTCTGAGTTTTTTGGCTCAGGATGCTTGTTGATGGTGTCCCACGCTTCATGGTTCAGCTTGCAATTCTCTGAGGCAAGGCAGAAGGTCGCAGCCTGCTGGCTGGAGAAGAATGCATGAACCTTCTTGCGCATACTGACTTCAAGCTTGCAAGCACCTGCTGCATGTTCCTCAGGATTGCCATTCCGGCAACTGTACTCACCAGTCCCAAGTCCATGAATGGAATTTCCAAGCTCATCTACCCCAGTGACTTCCAGAAGCTCAAGAGTCACAAGAAGCTCTCAGACATTGAGACAATGCTTAGTGATGCTTGGAAGGCATGCGAAGGGCTTCTACCACAGGCTTCTGCATCCCAAGCCTTTGGGAACTTTTGCAGGCGCATGATTTTGCTAGCAGTCATGAAGCAAAAGAAGGATTCCTTTGAGTCCTTTGAAGAAGTGGTCCAGCAATTTCAAGATGATCTCAAAGGTGATTCAGCTTCCACTGCAGCTAGCACTGAGCAAAAAAAAGATGTTAAAGTACATGATCTGATCAATTGCTCCAATGCAGACATTGCAAAGTTGCAGAACTCCCAGAATGAGGTTGGCAAGATGTTCCTTGGAAGTCTTCAGCTTTGTCAACCTTTTTCAGCTATGGTTTTGTATGTTCTTTTCTTCACTGTTGGTGTGTTGTTGGTGTCTTGTGAGGTTCTTTCATAAAGAACATGGCTCAGACAAACTCTTTCGCTTGGAGAGCCTCAAGGATGATTGTGCTACTTTTGTCCATACTCCTCTGTTTGGTGATCCAGAGGAAGTACAGGAATTCTATGAGAGCTTGAAGAACTGGAAACATACAAGGAAGCAAGGGACTTCTATGTGCCCTGCAGCCTTGGCAGCCCTGAAGCTCCCTCACACTTCAACCATTGTGTTGGATGAGTTCTCCAGGCTGCAGGTCAACAGCTTCCTTTTAGATGCATATATGAATTCCAAAAAACCAAATGAAGAGATGCTGGGATTCACCATGTGCCCAGCAGGGGTGGTGACCTTGAAGAAATTCAAAAAGAAAGAGCTTCAGCTTTATCCTGTGGGCTTTTGCAACAAGCCCAAAGACTCAGCAAAGGAGAAGGAGCACTTTTGTGTGAAGTTCAATGAGGTAAATAAAGTATGACCTCCTTCCCTTCAAGACCTTTTCCAACTTCGACAAACCCAAAGATCCTGGAGTACTTTGCCCCTTTTGGCTTGTGGGAACCACTGAGGATGAGAATGAGGCCAACATGAGCTTGGCTTACATTGACTACAAGGGTGCAACCATCCCCATTCTGGAGAACAAGGATGTGATTGGTCCAAATACATGGCTGACAAGGCCTTCAGATGTGCTCAAAGCAGAGCTCCCTGCAAAGAAGCGGAGGAAGGCATAGGCTGGCAATTTTGAAAGAAACTGAATAGGTGTGCAGACTTCAAAAGGCTCATGAAAAAGTGCGCTGCAATTATTTTCACCAATATTTTTGAGAAGCTTCCTTTTAAGCTCCAGAGTTTGTTTAAGAAAGCATGCTATTGTTTTGCCTTTGAGGCACCAGATTCTTTTTGGTTGAATGTTTGCTGAGTGTTTTTCATTTCATTATCATGTGAAGCTTAAAGGCTCCAGATTTGCTTGTAAGCTCCATGCTATTTGTTTGAGAGCTTTTTGAGAAGCTCCAATATTTGCATTGGAACTAATGTTTGCAAAATAATGGAGTTTTTATGGTTCCACAGCTTCTTGTACTGTCATGAACAGTTATCACCTGTGGTTAAGGCTTTCCATACTAAAACCTCAGCAGTCTTCATTTGTGTTGACTATTGTTGTAACAATTGCTTCAGCCACACTTTATGGAGTTGAAATGAAAAGGTCTTTGTCGCCCCAGCCATGTGGAAGTCATGCTGCCCTGCGCACCAATGCAGATGACTCATGGGACCGCTGGGAAGACCCAGTGCCTAAGGACTGGATAGTGAACATGATTTGTTTGAATTGCATAAACA